GTGTGTGTGTGTGTGTGTGTGTGTGTGTGTGTGTGTGTGTGTGTGTGTGTGTGTGTGTGTGTGTGTGTGTGGTCGACCTGCGACTGAGCTGAACTCCTCTCAGGCTGGTCATGGTCTCCTCCAGGTTTTGACGAAGGTCCAGAACATTTTGCACGGTTCTTTTCCTCTGCGACTCTGGGTCTGTAGGGGTGCAAATATAGAAAAAAAAAAAACGTTAATCAACTGCTACCACATTTAGGAAAAAAAAAGGATGTAAAGTGTGTTTGAAGAAGGGACGTKAGAAAACTATATGGTTTTGTCAAAGATGTAGGCTACTTCACTTGTATGAGCAGAAATGTAGGCGCAGGTAGCTTTCTAGAYGATAACTCAAAATAAATAAATCATAATGCAAGCAGACAAAACAACACGAGGAGAACATTAAGCTCATACAGGTATCACTCTCCTATAATGTTCAGTTAGTGCACWGTCAGCAAAAGTCCTGGAAATCTGCTCGTCTGGGTGGATGGACCACACTTTTTCTGCTCTCTAAGCACCTTTGTTACATTAGTCTGGTTGGAGTTTATCATAAAAAAAACATTTGGTACTGTTCTCAGCTTTGTTGCTGATGAGAAATGTTACGCTCACATTTAGACAAAGTGAGCTGCAACTTTCACATGTTCAACTGAGAACAAATCAAAATCCAAATAAAAACTGTAATCAGTAGCGAATCGGAGCRTAGGCTGCATCATGTGACCTTCACCTCTGCTCTCCTCATTTCTCAGGAGTGTGTTTCCAAAGAAAAACGAGAGGGTGATAATAGAAGTGTTATGAGGGCCAGATTTGAGGCTGCTTATCCCCAAGGTTAAGCTCAATAGACCATTAACAGGAGCCAGCTGACTCCCAAATAAGAACAGCAAAACAACAATTTAACCGAAGGACATAGTCAGTTGACAACATAAATAAAAAAAGTCTTCTTGGGATCACAAGTTTCCCTTAAAATGTGTTGTTTATTGGTTCGTTTCCCTTTTCCTCATRCCAGTGAACATGATCTGGTTGTAGAAACTGATTGCACACACCGAGTCAAACACAATTTCCAACAAACACTCTTATGAAAGACGTGCAGATGGTTAGTGAGGAGAACAGGGAAAGGTCATCCTAATGAGAGGGAGGAGGGCAGATCTTGAGCTGCCAGAGGTGTCAGTCTCAACAACAGCTGCACACTGCACACATACGCACATTTATATAAATATAAAGACAATTCGGGAAGCCCTTGCACGGAACCCAACAAATAAAATTGCATTGATTTTCCTCCAAAGGCAAAAGCAACAAATACAATCAATCAAGCAGTTTGGGGGTGGTGAGGGTAAAAAGTGACATGATGAAGCTGTTGTGATGCAAACATGCAGGTCAGCACTCACATGCGCACACAAAATGTACAAAAACACAAGAAGAGTGTTTCTAAAGACTGCTTATTGTGGAATAWYAAGCTTTTAGAAGGAATTTGATTTTAAAATAGTCGGATGGTGTACAGTTTATCAGGAACAAAGAACCTCTGATACGTGCAAGAAGAGGCAAAGTCTGACACGCACACACAAGCTGTAATTGGGAGGTTTTAATTACCCTTAAACAGGAGCTTTGTTTAACAATGGCATCCAATTGATTAGATATGGTGTGTGTTTCTGCGTGAGCCTCTGTCTGTGTGTGTATATATGGGGGTGTGTGTGTGTGTGTGTGTGTGTGTGTGTAACTGGGTGTCTGTAAGAGACTTCCTGTCCCGCCTGTGCCCTGGCCTCAGTGCTCCCAGCTGGCTTCTTTTTTGGGGGGGTGGGGGGCGGATCAGGGATGCAAATATCCCTGTCAAAGTCTGGCAGCTCCCCTGAGGTGAAGATGATTCTGCGTGAGCCTCTGTCTGTGTGTGTATATATGTGTGTGTGTGTGTGTGTGTGTGTGTGTGTGTGTAACTG